ACCTGTGCGCCGCGGCTCTGGCTACGCAGGAACTCGCAGAAGGAGAAGGGGTTACGCTCGACCTCAGGCCCAGCCTCTCCGCCGCGGGCCGCCATGACCGGCCCCGCTCACCTCAGCACGCTCCGCCCCCAAGCGGCTGGCCAACCACCACCCTCCCCCGCTCCGCCCCAATCAGCGGCTCCCGCGAAGCGACGCGCTTCCGGTGCCGGGCGGAAGTGGGCGGCAAGATGGCGGCCAACATGGTACGGCTGCGGGCCGGCGCGTGGGGCCCAATGCGGAGGTGAGTCCCGATCCCCGCGATCCCTGCCGCGTCCCGCCCTCCGGGGCCCTGACCCGCCTTCTCCCCCGCAGGTCGGGGCTTGCGGTCTACAGGCAGTTCAGCAGTGGTGGCGCCGGCGGCGGCTACCCGGGCGTGCCCCTCACGCAGCCGCTGCCCGGCCTACCCGCGCCCGCCTTCGCCGCCGTGGACGGGCAGGAGAAGTTCGAGACACGGGTGACGGCGCTGGACGGCGGGCTGCGCGTGGCCTCGCAGAACAAGTTTGGGCAGTTCTGCACCGTCGGGGGTACGTGGCTGTATAATGTATGTGTTACATGTATAGCGCGGCTGGCTGGTGGATCGCGCCATAAACGGAGACTGGGCATCCACGCCCCATGAGGATTGCGGGATATAGTCAGGGGGACACGTCTAATTAACTACCACAAGTTAATTATGCTTCGCAGAGCTGCGTTCGGGGCATGACATCCCGCTGCAAGGCACGGGAATGTAATCAGCTGCTATGAGTTTGAGGTGCCGCTTTGTGTGTCTGGACAAGACTCGAGTCAGGCAGTGCTGTAACACGTCACTTGTCAGTCAAATCCATAGCAATCTAGTGGAGTTAAGCATTCAGTGTCATCTGCTGTGCTTCAGTTCTCCTGATTTAAAACGAGAGAAGGTGTTTGCTTGTATGCACTCTTGTAAAATCAGCAGATGGTACCAATAGATACTAATATGTTTGCTCTTCGTATCAGTTCTTATAAATTCCGGATCAAGACATGAAACCAAGTACCTCAGTGGCATTTCACACTTCTTGGAAAAGCTGGCTTTCTCTGTAAGTACTGTGCCTGCAAGGAAAAAGTCCCAACACTTTTTGTTTAAATCTCTTCAAAGACTACTCAATTGTTTTTGCAGCCGTAATTTTTTTCAGAAGGCCTGATTCTGTTTTCCTGTCAACTTCAGGATTACAAGTGCAGGCTCTACCTAGTTACCTTCAAGTAAAGGAAGGAAGGAAGGAAGGAAAGGGTGTTTCCTTGTCCCCAGTCACATTAATGCATGAGAGATGTACATGCTTAATCCCTTACCTTAATTTCTTCTTCTTAGTCAACAGCCCAGTTTGGCAGCAAAGATGAAATACTCCTCACCTTGGAAAAGCACGGAGGCATTTGTGACTGTCAGGCATCGAGGTACAATTCTAACTTTCCCTTATCCCATGCACAAACGGTTGTCAGGATAAGTTACGGTGATGCAGTGTGACTGAACTTCTGCCTTTTCTGTGCCGTCACAATGATGATCTGTTTTCGAACAACATATGTCCCCTGTTTGTGGCAAATTGCTGGAAAGATGCAAGAGTAAACATGGAAACAGTGACGAACCCTAGCCCTTGATCTAAGCACTGAGCATGAAGTGCACTTGCCATGAGTTTGTTATTACATTAATATACTGATTGCAGAACACATCTGTTTGCGTTGCAGGGACACCACCATGTATGCTGTATCAGCTGAGGCCAAGGGTCTGGACACTGTGGTCAATTTACTGGCTGATGTTGTGCTACAGCCCAGGTTATCAGGTATGGGAGTGTTAGTTGCTGCGTTGGGCAAGGAGCCCAAACTACTGCAGGACAAGGCAGTTCTAGAATCCTTGTTCATGAAGTCACGACGATGTAAAAAAATTACACAATTATTGCCATGTTGGAGCAATGGCACAAACAGCCCATTGTTGCAGATGGAAAATTAGTACAAATACCAACTGGTTGCTTACGAGACTGGCCAGTCTTTAACATTCATTGCCACTTCATTCAGAAAAGGAGATGGGCTGGGTATTGTTTTGGACTCTGCTTCATTCTGCAAAGATGAACTGAGAGGCTTTTGCACTCAGACAGCTCCCTTTTGTAAACATAGGAAGGGAGGGGATCTCCTTGGACCCTGAGTTTGGTTCCTTGGTATGGTAGTCTCTCCCTTAGATTATCGAGCCCCATCTCAGAACCACTTTCAGTTGGCAGGTTGTTACTGTCAACCTTAAAGCTTTACTTGCTTACATAAGCTTTACTCTTATTGCACCATACTTTGGGGCAGGGGCAGTACCTTGGAGAATTCCTTGCTGTCTGACCCAATGGTCTTGTACAGCAGAGCCCCAAGAGGTTGTTCCTTTCCTGGTGGTACATAGTCTTTGTTTCCTTTGTTGCTGTAGACGAAGAAATTGAGATGACTCGAATGGCCGTTCGGTTTGAGCTGGAAGATCTGAATATGAGACCTGATCCAGAGCCTCTGCTCACAGAGATGATTCATGCGGTAAGCTAATGGGGGGTGATATCTTGACGTGGTGTGACTTGCAAAACATTCCTTTTTTCAGGATTAATTTTGGTGACAATTTGCACCTGCTTAGGGAACAGATTAAATGAGGCTGGGCTAGAATTGAGGGAGCATGCTGCTGCTGACATCTCCATTTAAGCCCTCAATCTCCGACATATAGTAAATACATTGGACTCAAAAGGACAATGGATTTTGGAGCCTGAAAGTCCAGGCAGAGAAAGCATTTCATACCTGAAACTTAACTAGTTATAACCAGCTCTCCAATTACAGCTGCTATCTTTTACTTTGTTGCAAGGGAAATAATACTTGGTTTGTCCTTTCTTGCTGTATCTCTGTTACTGTTAGAGGATGGAGCATTGCTTAAATGCAAAAGGGCAAAGGAAAGCTCAGATCATATTTTTTTTGGAGAACAAGCATCCTTTTTTTTAAACTAAGTGTGCTTGTGTGTTAATCCTAATAGGCTGCATACAGGGATAACACTGTGGGGCTCAACAGATTCTGCCCTGTGGAAAACATTGAGAAAATGGATCAGAAGATCCTCCACTCTTACCTGAAGAACTACTATACGCCTGACAGAATGGTGCTGGCAGGGGTTGGGATCGAGCATGAGCAGTTGGTGGAGTGTGCCAAGAAGTACCTGGTGGGAGTAAATCCAGTTTGGGCCAGTGCTAAATCCAAGGACATCGACAGATCAGTTGCACAGTACACGGGAGGAATCATCAAGGTAAAACTAAAAGGCAGAGTCAATCCATGCCTGGGCTGGACCTTCCTGTTACATTAAAGTAGTAGATGTGGACATCCTCAAGCTGAATTCCTTACAGGTTCTCATTTACACAGAGGCACTTGGAAACTCAAAGGCAGCAGCCTGAATATCTGCAAAAGCTGAGTACCAGCTGCAGTGTCCATCTAAGCAGGCAGTTGCCCATTTTGTTTACAGAGGTCCTGGTTTATGGACATGCAGTAGAATTACTGTGCACCCAGGGTGGCTGCCTGACAGTATGAGAGCAGGGCTGGATTTCTGTAACTCCTCAGGCCAAGGTTCACAGGCATAATTCAGGCCTAATTTTCCTCTTCCCCTGGCAGGTTGAAAAAGACATGTCAAATGTGAGCCTGGGCCCTACTCCAATCCCTGAGCTGACCCACATCATGATTGGGCTGGAAAGTTGCTCATTTTTGGTAAGTGCTTCCCCAGAACTTCCTGCTGTAGCTGCAGACAGCCCTCTTCTTGTTTCAAGCTTGTTGTTCATGGTATAACTCTCAATGCAAGCAAAAAGGAGCTCTTTCAACAGTGTTCTGCTGGGAGGGCGGAGTCTGCTATATTCAGAAATGAGCTGGCTGACTTTGCACCACACATGCCGATTTTGCAGGGTTTCTCATGTTCACCAGGGACTTTCCTCTTTTCTTTCTTTCACGTAACGTTTGAGTGTTGTCAGTTCTGTGCTGAGTGTGCACTGTAGTGACTGCCTCTGTTGTCGTGACTCAGGAGGATGACTTCATTCCTTTTGCTGTGTTAAACATGATGATGGGAGGAGGTGGCTCCTTTTCTGCTGGAGGGCCTGGCAAAGGCATGTTTACACGTCTGTATCTCAACGTACTCAACAGGTTTGTTAGTTTCCTCTTTCAAGGAAAGGCTGAAAGTTTTTCCCTCTCTGTGATGGGTCTGCACAGAAGGCCTCATCTTTGGCAAGCCAAAGTTAGTCCATTTTTTCCACCAGCAGTTGCTCTCTTGGAGGTGGATGTAGCTTAAGTCTGGAGCTAAACTGGAGAAGGGGACCAGGAATCCTGCCTTCTGTACCCAGTCCAGCCCTCAACTGGTAGGGGTGGGAGGAGATCTCACAAACTAGCCATTTGGTGCAGTTGTCCAGCACACTGTCACTCTACAGGTCCCTTCTGCAGAAGTAGAAGGGAAGAAAGTAAAAGACAAACCTGCAGGTAGCAAAGTTTTGGGGGAAATGAAAGGGAGATGTTCATGATGGGAACTGGTCATTCTCATCCATGCCTTTGGGATTGCTGTTTCTCAGGCTGATGATCCTGTTGCATTCAGAGAGGTAACAGGCTCATTTGCTTTTTGTTTCTCTGACACTTACACCTGTATATTCTTGTGCTTATAGGCACCACTGGATGTATAATGCAACCTCCTACCATCACAGTTATGAGGATACAGGCCTTCTATGCATTCACGCTAGTGCAGATCCTAAACAGGTACAAAGTTCTCTTGTATTCTATGACCTATATCCATAAACAACAGCTGCAGCACATAATTGCTGACAGAGCAGCTCTTGTCATATCACTGCCAAGAGGTTGCTTATTGGTTCTATACATGGTGGGGAACTGAAAGTCATCAGGACCTGCAATCTGTGACATGAGGGCTGGAGCTTTCACAACTCCCAGTGTACATCAATTCACACGTCTTGCACAACACTAGTATAGCTCAGGCAGTCATCCCATTTTCTCATGGAGTTGACTAATCACATATTGGGAAGAGAGGCGTATGTATCCTCAAATTGCCACTGCTGCTGCAGACAAATTCCATAAAGAGCTGGAGTGCTCTGCATCAGAGAGGTGAAGTCCCATCCTGCTTGACAGGAACTGCCTTGATGTGGCACCAACATGTTTCCCTTGTGCCCATGCAGGGCTGTAGTTAGGACCCTGTGTACTACAGGAGGGAGACAGTAGCAGTTCAGGTGCTGCTGATTGCCAGGCACTCACTACAGAACCATCTCAAAGACAAGGAGCAGGTGTGAGGATGGTTTTCTTTCTAACACTCTCTTGTTTTTCCAGGTCCGAGAAATGGTTGAAATCCTTACGAAGGAGTTTGTTTTAATGTCAGGAACAGTGGGAGAGGTAAGATGCCTGGCCACCGAAATATTGCATGACCCAGCTCGACACCACTTGTGCCTAGAAGAGTCTCCCGACTAGCTCACCAAGCACCTTCCTTTCCCTGTGCAACCTCTGCAGATCAGTTCCTACTGGAAAGCACACTGCAAACTCCAGGCCTTCCTTCTGGTCATCCTGGAGGGTGGTGGGGTGGTACAGCACAAAGAATAGTTGCTAGTCTTGAAACCAAACCAACACAGTCAATGGTTTTTCCTGGTGATGTGCAGGTAGAACTTGAGCGAGCAAAGACCCAGCTGAAATCTATGCTGATGATGAACCTGGAGTCACGGCCAGTTATCTTTGAGGATGTAGGAAGGCAAGTGCTGGCCACAAGCACAAGAAAGCTACCTCATGAGCTCTGTGATCTCATCAGTGAGTACAACCTACTGCTTCACATTCACTGCATCATGCTGTATTGGTACTCAGGTGGCAATGGCAGCTTCCAGCCTGCTGACAGCTGTCCCTTGAAAGCAAGGGTAGGATAAATGGTAGATCCTTTACACTTTTGCTAAAACATCTCAGTCTGGTGAAGCTCCTCCTTGCTCTTGGACCCCAGCCTGTGGGAGACTTCAAGGCAAGGGGCACCTCATTGCTGAAGGCATGCAGTGTATACAGACTGTGTAGTGATGCAGTCAGTTCCAAATCTCACTAACATTGACCCAAAAAATGTCCATTGACTTCAAAGTTAGGTCTTTAACGCCTGACTGAAAGCTTGGCAGTCTCAACTCTGATGCAGACATTTTTCTGTGGCCTTGGTCAGATCGCCTAATGATGGATTATCAGTTTTCTCCATTAAACCTTTCTGGCTCTGTGCGCCATTGGTAAGATCATTTGATGTCTGTAAACTCAGTCTGTGGTACTTCCTGCCATCTGTCTAAAGCATCTGTAAACTAAGCAAAGCTTAAAAGGGAAACCAGACACTTGACTATCTTAAGACTCTCATCCAGTACTCTAGAAGTGCTGTTTGTCACTGTTTACAGTGCAGTGCTGATGACTCTTGCTTATATCTGCAGATAACGTGAAAGCTGGTGACATCAAGAGGGTGGTCACGAAAATGCTTCGGAACAAACCGGCAGTGGCTGCGCTGGGAGACTTGACGGAATTGCCCACGTATGAGCACATTCAAGCAGCACTTTCCAGTAAGGACGGACAACTCCCCCGGATGTATCGCCTCTTCCGGTAAAGCTTCAATCCCCATGTGCCGTCCAGAACGAGAGACTTGCCAGTATCTGAACACAACATTGACTGGATTATAATATCACGGCAAAAAACAATGATTTCTGTGTATCCTGTGCCATACAGGATTTCTCTATAGCTGAAACTAGATTGCATCGTATCTTCTGAATGGAAGGCACTTGTGATGGTGAGGGTGGACAGGCCCATCCTGATGGTTTGGCCAGCAGAATAAATAACTGCAGAAGGTAGGACATGCTGGACTTTCCCTTGGCACCATACATTGAAATGTGGCAGCGGAGCGAGCAGTAACCACCGACATAAAACTGCTGCAAGGAGCAGAGAAAACATTCAGAGAACTATTTCCTCATCCAGCTTGAATGCTGATGGTTAATAACTCCAAATCTTTGGCCCTCCTTGGTAAAGAATTAGATTTTGGTAGAGTTATATTTCATGGTTGGGCTGGCTCCAGTCACACCCGTTTTCCCATTCAAACTCGGTGTCACAGGCAGATGAAAGGGCTGTTCTAAGTACTATTCATCTAACATTTCCTGGTCCAGAAGATACAGCTATAACGAAGCTGAACAGCTGATTCTAGAAAAATCTGTCCCTGTAACAGTCTGCTGAGTTCCCCCTTCCATTGTAGAGATCAGCTGCTGTTGTAAAAGCCTTGCCATATTGATGATCGTTTCTGCAGTCTTGTTTGAGTAGGTAGCATCAGGAGTACCTTGTTTCACTGTACCACTCCATCTCCACTTATGCTGGTCATGCTGAACTTTTCCATAAAGGGTGAAGTCTTGCAGATGCTTCATATACAATTATGTTGACCTTGCAGCATAACTAATAGGTTCTTGAGACACGTCTGCATAAGGAGAACTTTCCCAATCGCTGTTTTTGAATAACCCCATACATGGGCACGCTTATCCTGGAATAAGTGTTCTTGTTTAGCTTATTTTATTTTAAAAGCAGATTATAGGAACAGGAATAAAACATTTGTATTCCAGGATTAGCCTGTCCACACAGAAAGTCATTCAGAAACAGCCATGTATGTTTGACACAGATTAACTGTTAAGGATAGACAGGCTTTTACCAATGGAGAACTGCCTTCTACTAAACTATCTGCTTCCACAGGAAAAATTAAGATGAATTAAAATAAAGGTTAGTAAAGAAGTGATGACTTGTATAAGTCAGTCTTTTAGGAGACATCATTTTACAGAAAAACATGAGTGCAATAGTAACAAGTTTAAGCAAACTTCTCTACACATATGAAGAACCATCAATTAAAGGGGGAGGTGTAATACTGGACATTATACAGTCATCTGGCACATCTAGGCATTGTTATTCAGAGAAGTCAGGTGCTGCTCGGTAATCAACTTAGTGCATAAATGAACAGTGGTCAGCCCGGGAGTAGAACACTCATTGGCAGCTTCTGCTTCTTCCATGCGACACCAATCAAATGACTGGAAGTCATACAATCCACACCATGCAGAATTGTCCCACCATGTTGCTGTTGAAAAATTAAGCTTTCATTGGAACAAACAGTTTGATCAATTCCCAGCCTTGTCTTGTCAGTTGTGGTGCACATCTTTGTAAAGGAAATAAAGACTTTAACTTGAGCAGTGTAAGTAGTGACCGAGGAAACTGATTGTTGCAGTTTAGACAGTCTGCCAATGACTTCTGAGAAGAGCTGGCTAAACAGATCGTTGCTTGGAGGCAGTTGATTTAGGTAATCCATAAATACACCCTGCAGGCAGAAATTTGCACAGCTGAGGTAGGATGAGGCGATCTGCCCCAGGCCATGGAGAAGGCAGTCACATGCCACTGCCATGACTAAAAGTCCATTCCTATTCAGCAACAACGCTTAGCTTAGAGTGCACCACTGTTATTCTCCCTTTTTTTCTTTCCAACCAAATTAACATGAAGAATTAACTGCCTGTTGCTTTAGAGACTTCCACCCAGGGACTGGCAGCCCCATTTCTGTCATGCTGAAGACGGGGTCCTGGAGGAGCTAGTAGCTACAGCCACTGCTGGACAGGCACCATCCAGTCTCCTTGAAAAGGACTGAACAACTTGGCTATAGCTCAGGATCATTCCCACAGGTCCACTTCCAGTCTCATCCACCGTTTAACACATCTTAGTTACAAAAACCAAAGCAGCAGCAGAAGTAAAAAATCTGGTCCTTTATTTGTAAAAAGAAATGCAGAACAAAAGGAACAAGTGCTTAGCATGAAATGCTGGAACCCAAGACAGAGTCAGACTTCCCATCATATCTCCACTTAAGCCTTACAAGATGCTTTCTGCATGGGAATACCAGTTTGCTTTTTAAATTGGTGTGAAAAGCCACACTAAGGATTCAGTCCACTATGGTGGTGTGAACTTTGCCCGGGTCTAGCAAAGCAGTTTAATCACAGGCTGAAAGATAAGCAGGTGAGCAGTGATGCGACTGCAATAGGACTACTCAAGCATTTGCTTACGCCTGGGTCAGAATCCTTTGCTTGATTAGGATTAGTGTGCTCAAAACCAAGTCCTGTACTCCATCCTTTAAAGAATCACCTGCACTAAGGCACTGGTCCCAGAATAATTCCTTCTGGTTACAGTCTATCCTGAGATACTTCAATGGCTCACAGAAGTAGGTGAGGGTAGAGGATTTTCAAGGACAGAGCATTTACTCTTTACCTGGGGAAAGCACTTGAGCACGTTTCCTCCTAACCGTTTGGAAGTTAACACAATATTGTTACTTGTTCCTTATGTGTTTCTTGCATCCCAAGTTTTATTGCAGAAAGTGACTGTGACAGATCTACTGATTATATGGAGTTTCCTCCAGACTTTGTATTTTATGTATTAAGATGGGTTATGGTACCATTAGTAGCCATTAATCCATGCAAACTGCCCATGAAAAGCTGTTTGGGGTTAAATGTAGTGTATAATTTAACCACTGTCACAGTGGCACTTCCAGCACCATTTGCCTTGAGTGAAAGTTACTCTACAGATAGATGAACTATTCCCACTTTACCTACTGGGAAACTAAGCCACAGAGAAGATACAAATTTCCCCATGTTGAGAAGCAGAGGTGGAGCAGGCTTGAGGTTACCTGACTCCTAGTGCTTACTCTGACGCAACAGTCTTGCCAAATAATCTCCCAGCAGTTAGAGATCCCTTTTCCCCATCTCCCTAGCAGCATTCTCTAGCACTCTACTTCAAGGCTAACTGCCCTGCAGGATTTGTAAATGCCAACCATGCCTCAGTCACTGTTTTCAGTTAGTGCCTCTGGCTGAAAGCACATGGCCAGAGACTGGATATCCCATTCCTGAGAATCAACACATTTGGGAATGAATACATTGCCTCAGGAAGTCTGACTCTATGCAAGGGCGTGTGCCAGTTTGAAAATGCCGTTTTCCCCTTAGGAACGAACAGGAGTACAAAATACATGCTGATCTCTAAGGCCTTATCACTGTACATTCACCCAAAGTTGTTGGAGTGGGCAAGAAATGCAAACATGTTACGAACAAGAAACTGCTCCAATTCTGCAGCCGGTCCCCTAGGCATTGTACAAAATACTGTGCATTTGGCTCTAGGCGAGGCAGCCACCAGCTCACATCAGTGCTCTTCTGAGGAGGAGGTTTGCTGGGCAGCTGGTCTGACCGCACTAACTTAAACATAGAACTAAAATACCCTTGGAGCAGCTGCCCTGGCTGAATTCAGTTCCTTGGACAGTATACCCACTACACAGTCTTTGGCCCAACCTCAGATCAACCAGCTGAAGCTTGCTGCTTGCCAAGAAAGTGGCACGAGAAGTGACCTGATAGAATAAACAGGGCTAACTGTCCTGAAGATCTGTGGCCCTCTTGGTAAGCCACAGTGACCATCAGCAGCGCTCCAACAGAGAGCCCTTCCCATGGCTGGTGCTTGCACCACAACCGTTACCTGGCTCTGCAGTCCTCCCTGTGGCTCCTGGGACAGGTGCGCTGCTGAGGACCAAGGTCAGGACACAGTACAGACTGTGCTGGATTTTTGGTCCTTCAGCTCCTGCCGTTTCTTCAGGTCTCTTGTAATTCGCCTCTTGATCCCGATCAAGTAGAGTTCTCTGTCAAACTGCCCTGCTGCCAGTGGGATGCTGCAACAGGGAGATACCACTACTTACCTTTAGGCATTGCATGCAGCATCATCCGAGACAGGCCTAACCACATGCGAAACAGCTGGCTTCTTTGCCACTACAACAACTCAGGTGTGTCCTCATTCTTGTATGATGGGATGCGATGACAGAGGACAAGGGAAGTGTGCCCAAAACAAAGCTACTGCTCTTACCTAGTTTCAAGACCCTTGTATTTCAATGCCTTGAGCCATGTGCCTCAGGCTTCTAAGATCAGAGAGCTGAGACCGCCTGACAGTAAATTCTCTTGTGTCATGAATCCTAAAGGATCCCATGGTGCATTTCAGTTCTTGAGAAATACGACCCCTGGGGTGGACAGACAGAAATCATTCCCACACCGCCTTCTAGGAAACATGTACAGGGCAAACTGTACCAAGCTCAATTTATCTTCTGCAACAGGATTGAGGAGATTGAGAGCATGGATCCCAGCTATCAGATCTAGGGTTTAAATGCTTTTCCTGCTCTCAGCATTGATTCCGCATGTGTCACACGGAGAACACTGCAATGAGCTGTATGGGATTAATTCCATCACAGGGGCTCTTGTGATGTTATAAACACCCGAGCACAAAACCTGGCATGCAGACATATCCCACGAACACCCCACTACCAGCCCATGTGTGAAGGCATGCAATCAGGTCACTGACTTGTCTCTGCCAGGCCTCAGTTTGACACGGAACAAGCCGTACACTGGTCTGTGATCTGACGTCCGGATTACGGGACAGGAGGAGTACTTCACAGCATGGATGTCGTTCTTGTGACGGCTTCTGTACATGACCCGATCCTGGAGACAGAATGGAAGGAGGTTAATAGCTCTCCTTTGCATGTCTGTCCTGGTGAGAGGCACTTGTTCATTAAAGATAAATGTGTTAGTCTGAAACACCTGTTAAGCATTTTTCACCCTGGGAGCTGGGAACCCTGGGTGTTGCCTCCCTTCCAGGGATCCTGGGGGCAGAAGACAACACACTGTAAATTACCTGACTGATGCTCACCTCTCTCCCCTTGCTGTCCCAAGCCCAAATAACTGCCTGTCTACAGCACTCAGTTGGGGTGAGGCTGTGAAACCATGCACAGAAGACATACTACACCAGAAACAGGAATAACTGCCACCACAACATGACATCTCCCACCTGGTGGGGACCTGGAGCCACTGAATCCAGTGGCCCCTTCCCCCAGCCCAGTCCCTGTCTGCCACTCTGGTCCACAGGAGGTTCCCAGCCCAGTGCAGATCCAGTGGTGGGACAGAGCCCTACCAGCTTGTTGCCACATGGGTGGATTTTTAGGGCTGTGCAAAGCTTCGACTTAATATTCGATTCGACATATTCGACCTTGAAAAGTTAAAGTCGAATTGAATAGCAGCTGGTTGAATAGCTGTCGAACTGAATACCGGAAGTCAAATATTAACAGCGTGAGTCGAATATTCGACAAGGGTCGAATATTCGACTTGCCTATACTGGATTCCCGGGGGGGTGGGGAAGGAAAGTAAAGGGAGGGAGGGGGAAGGAGTGCTTTCATGACTGACACGTGTGGCTGGCCAGTGACCTGTCAACGTTCTGTGAGGTCCCTTCCAATCCCAGTGCTCTGGGGGAGGGCCAGAGAAAAATGCATAAAAGGCAGCAGTTTTTCAGCTCCCTGCTTTCTGTCTTGGGGTCAGTTTCTGAGCTGGTGGTGTTCTCCAGCACCTCTGCGTCAGACCACGACAGCTGGAAGCCCTGATCTTCAACAGATTCCCTGCTTGCAACGCTAGCAACAGG